GTGTCACCAGTAGAAGAACAGACAATTTCCTGCTACCGAGCACAATCAAATCGAAACTCAAGGAACACATGACAATAAAACTAAATTTGAGAATGCATCTACTAGGTGCTGTAGGCAGAGCTCGGCTCCAATGCCAAGTGAGTGTGCCAATGCTTATTCCATATTTTATGGAAATTTATAAGAACTACAGTGTACTTTCTCCGTTTGTAGAAGGCTACTGTGTGGCTGTGAATCAGATCTTCCCTTTTCTTCAAGGGAATGGATAACTATGAACTACTTTCTTAAAACCTCTCGCCAATTGAGTTTATAGTGATAGACCACACATGAGAACCACTGCATGAGATTTTAAAAATGAAGGAAAATGAGAAGCCATATTATCACTTCCCCAAAAGTACGAAGGTAAAGAATAAGATTCAACAGGCATGAGACTATAGAACATGGCTGGGTTTTCCCTCACGAGTTAAGATTGTCTGCGGGGCACCTGTGGTCTCTCACATTTGCTGATTCTGCAAATGACTGTCGCACCCTAGGAAGTGCCTTTCTTTTCTGTTGATTTGCGTCTCTTCCACTGATTTGCAGGAATCACAATTTCTGTGTGAGAACCACCAGTGCTCAAAATACCAACAGTGTTGTTTTCTCCGTGGCATAGCCCTAAGTGATAGAACCATTGGTCCTTAATTCCCTCTAATATCATCAATATGACCAAGTGTTGACTGTTGCATTTGCTCAGTGAGATTTGTTACCTTGACTTGAAACTGCACCTTTATTTTTATTGAGCAATGTTCGCATTGATGGATAATGGATTTATAGTGTTATGTGGGAGATAAAATTAATTTCAATATAATTTAGTACTATAGTAAAAGCAAATAAAAATGCATGGGCTATGCAGATAGATGTCATTTTATTCAATGCTAATAAAGAGGTACTGGTGATATTTTTCTATTCATCTATGCCTTATGTATCCTTTTTAAGGCATTCACTGATAAAATGTGGTAACTTAGAAGATAAAGTAGCCAATGAAAACTGTACCATCCATTTAGAGTTATAGTGCAGTATTTTAACTCAATCAAAGACATTTGATTTTAAGGTTGTTTCTCTCTGCCTGGTGCTTTATACTGATGCTCAAAATTTGGCTTATGGGGCTGGGATTTAGCTCAGTGGTTCCACCACCTGCCTTGCAAGAGCAAGGATCCAAGTTCAATCCCCGGTACCAAAAAAATTTTTTTGGCTTAGTATGTATGCCTAAACAACAGAACGAGGTCGAGTTTCTCATGCAACAGATGGAATGGGGAAGTGTCTCAAGAGAAACTGATGAAACTGATAAAGAAGGGAGTCAAGCACAATGAGGGGAGAGAATGGACAATGACCAACAGGTGGTTTAGATTGCATTCTAGACCCAGACTTTCCCTCAGGGAACTCTGGGGCTGCACACATCACAACATGCCACAGGTGGCAGTGAGGGAGCCTTTATATCACTTATCAGTTAGCCATGGGTTTTAGGGTACCCTGAACTGGATCTGTATATAAACTTCCCGGTATTTGAGGGATTGCAGCCAGGGTGAGAGAAACTTTCTAGAAGAAAACCAGACATGTCAGTTATTTATTACACAAATGCACAGCAGTCATGGCCCCTGGAAGATGAGGCCAGGATTCTAATAATATCCATTACAGGTTCATTATATGTGATTTTTGAAAAGATATAACATGTTTTAGTATCTGAACCACAAAAGAGTATAAAAGACATGAATTGCGTCTCACTTAATCATCTTTCCTCACCTATCCTACTTATTTTTGACTCTTTAAAGTATTTTTGTGTCCTTAAAGTGCATTTTCTCCTAAAATTCTCTGTGTAAGCAAAAGGAACACAGATACTATTTTATTTGTATTCTGCCCTTTGTATATATGTCCCATCAATAACAGTGTATAATGTAAATTCCAATATTCTCTGTCCTATGTTTATTTTTGTAACAGAAACTATGTGCTGATATCCCCCCATATGACTGCTTTAAGCTTATCCTCATTGTTTAAATTGCATAGAAACCCATTGCTTATAATTTCCCCACACAGTCATCCTGTACGAAACACTCATTTGGATATGCCATGCAATTAGTCATGCTATATTAGAGACATTGTGCCAGTGAAGCCACTAATACAGGAATAATCTCAAAACAAATATGATTTATGGACACTTAGGCCACCCTTGATCTGTACTGTGAACTAAGGTGATGCATGTTACACAGACAGACTGTAAAAATGCACATTTTTATTCACTAATTTAACTAACAATGTAAAAACCATTATGAAATTCAAAAATAGCACAACAGTCTATTCAAGAAAGGAATACAAATAACTGAAAATCATAAAACATCTCATTGTTCTTCTCTGGATTACAGCAAGAACTCTGAAGCATTGCAGCATGCTTATTTTATTAAAAAATCATTTAACTTATGTCAATAGAATGCAGTAGTCCTCTGTCTGACTTGCATCACGTTATACTGAACTGGATTTGTATCTTTCAGGACTTCTGATAGAGCCCTTTCTTGGCAGAGCCTATGAATTCAGTGGTATTTTGTGATATGACTTAACAGGATGACTGCCTTAACAGAATAACAGCATCAGTCTCCTCTTGTACAACTATAAAACAAGTTCCTAGAAATAATGGATACAAGTGAAATTTTACTCCATTACTTTAACCCTTGTTGGCCATGATTCATAAAACATCATGACCTCAAAAGGAAATAAATATGCTTATTTTTCACTTTCTATCATTCTATATGGAACAAATAAAATAATAACAATGAGTGTCAATGTGAGTGCTCAAGTTAGTCAAAACATACGCCATATTGAAAATGGCTTGAATTAAAAAAGAAAGCCAAAAGGTCTCCTTACTCTTTGGGGTATTTCAGTGTCAAAAGTATTTTGGACTGTTGAACCTGGTAACTATTCATCCTTCTTTTTACCTCAGCCAAGAAAATCATCTTACATGTTTGTCTTTTACCCAAGTAGATTAATGAATTTAGGATATAATAGGTCCCTGAAGTGATTTGCATGTATTTATTAAATGTCATGAATGAAATGCTGCAGGTTAAATTATTAGAGACACACAAATGGAGAAAGCACAATTGTAAGTATTGTTTAAATAAATTACTTGACAATTCTTGACACATGATTTTATATATATTGTGTGTGTGTGTGTGTGTGTGTGTGTGTGTGTAACGGGGACTGAACTCGGGTTCTTGTGCTTGCAAGGCAGGCCACTGAACCGCTGAGCTAAATCCCCAGCCCAACATGATTACATTCTTTATGTCTACCTAATATCTATGTAAGGAGGAAGAGTACAGCGTATAACTGTAAGGTAAAAGAAATCTGAAAATGGACCCTAGCACTGGAGAAACTGCCCCTAGAAAATGCTTCATTATGCATTGCACCTATACAATGAATAATCTCTGGTTGTGTGATTAATTAATATTTCATAAAAAGCACACACTTCCAAATGGAGACACGCGGTGATGTTTACCCAAAAAGCAGGCTATAATAGTAAGACTCCACCATAAGTCATCACAATACTGTCGGCTGACTGTGGAGCAGGGTGGAGAAAAGGACCCTTCGTTGAGAAGCCCTTAGGTAAGTAAATTCAGGCCAAGAACATCTTCTACTGAAATGTGCAAAGGTACCAGTATCCATCTTCCTTATCTCTTTCTCTAGAGTTTGCTAAAATAATTATTTTATATGTGCAAAATGGTGTCAAGGGGAGGCCTGTTCAGAACAGCACTAGATTATTTTTTAATCTAAAACAAACAGCCCTGGATACCACATCATTTATTTCCTAGGATCAATACATACCTTACTCAGAGTTCTCTCCCCATGATTTCTACCATGTTCAGTCTTGATTTTTAGTTTCTTATGGATAAAAAATTTCCAATAATTGAGGATTTCTTACTGTAATAATGTTCTATACGTAGTGTGGTTTAGACCTAAAATTTCTCCAAAATGTCATGTAATCAGAAGTAGGGGTTTTGGAAGGCAATAGCATCACAAGAGTGCTATAATCATCAGTGGCTTAATCTGTTGGGGAGTTTGTGGCGAAATATGCTGTTAGGAAAAAAGGCCTGGTTGGAGGTGGGTCACCAATGTACTGCAAACATATACTAATAGAAGTTTCTTTTAAAAAAAAAGTATAAGAAAGGGAAGATGAGAAACAGGAGAGGAGAAGTTGGTAACTATGCTCATAGTACCAAGGTAGGACACAGATGTTAGATAAAGTTTATATAATAGTAAACAGAGACTCAAGAGCATAGGACAAATTAGGGACAAAATAAAGATGAAGAAGTAAAATAAAAGTATAATTATATTGATTGACAGAAAAGAAAGGAAAATGGAAGGTAACATTATTTTATCTATCAGAGACAAAAGTCTATAAAGTTGATAAATTCAAAACTACAAATTTATAGTATAGTGGCCCACATATGAAATGCAAAGTAAAGTGATCAAATGTCGTCTCTGGAAAGCGTAGTGAATAATGAGGTTGGAATGAAGGCAAGTGTGGATTGACTCTACATTCCCTAGATCTCATCTTATTTCCAAAATGTGCTTGATTAATGCACCATAAGAAAAGGACCAGAAACTTTGGGGAAATTTCAAACTTAGGGCAGATTTCCTTCATCAGAACCACTCATGGAACTTGTGAAAAGAGATTCTCTGGCCAGATTTCCTCAGTTTGCCTTTGGTAGATCTGTAATTCTGTCTGGTTATCAGCATTTTAATACACTTTTTGAGATTACTCTGCTACACAACTCACACCATACCACACCACTTCTCATTCTAAGTGTATGTTTGTGTGTTCTCTACCCACAACTTAAGCCAGACTAAAGCCACTTAATTTTATGGTCCATAAGAAAGCAGGCAGCTTCTCCCATAACAAACATTGCCGTGAATATTAGCTTTCTGTCGCTGTGACAAAATGCCTGAGGAAATCAATTTAAAGGAGAAAATGTTTTATTTTGGCTTACGGTTTCAGTGGTTTCAGTGTACGGTCCAGTGACGCCATTGTTTCTGGATCTGTAGTAAGGAAGAACAACATGGTGGAGAGCAAATGGGAGAGCAGAACTATTCATCTCAAAATAGCCAGCAGGCAGAAAGAAAAAGGAAGAAGATATGGAGTCCCCGTATTTCCTTCAAGGACCCACCCTCCGGGACCTACTTCTGCTAATCGGGCCCAAGCTCTCACAGTTCCCATTATCTCCCAATAATCCATGAATCCTGAAAATCCCTGAAAAGAATATACACAGGGATGAGTTCACAGTCTTCACGATCTAGTCACCCTCCAAAGGTCCTGCCTGTTAACCAACACTGCTGCATTTGGACCCAAACCTTCAACCTAAGAGCTTGGGGGGATCATTTAATATCCGAGTCATAACACCATGTAACCTAAAACTGTGGTGATGGTTTTGACTGATGTACTTCAAAAAATAGTTACTTTTAATTCAACCTCCTTTATTTTCTGAAATTAATATGGGTGCTCAAGAGAAAGCACAAGCATTTGGTACTAGAACTGTTTATTTTTCACCTCTGGGAAGTTGGTTTTTGATTTTTACTCCACTGCTGCATTTCAGCTCATAGCATTGATTATAAATTACATTGGTAATGTTACATGATTTTTTTGAAATTAATCCATACTAATAACTGTCAGATAGATAAACTTTTATGTTAGCCACAGATGACAAGATCATTCACAAGAAACTATGGTAATGAGATTTTTATCTGATACATAGAGAAACAAAGAGATGAATGTTTCTCAAATGAGTTTGACTGCATGATTAATTTTTTCACCCTAGGTATATGTCTGTGTGTGCCTGCCTACGTGAGTGCAGAGATGAGCATGCACTTTTTTCTTTGACTATAACATTTCTTTCTGCTAATCTTAAGGTTTCAGGAAGAGCGCACTGCCTAGGTAGTTCTACATTCCTACCCTTAGATTTTTTTAAGTGAAAACTATTGACTCATTTGTTACTTTGAAGTTTCTGGATAATTTCCAATTTGCAAATTGATAAAGAATTAGTCCTTTTAAGTTTCACAACTGAAATCTATAAATGGCATTTTTATTGCCCAAAGGGGAAAAAAATAAGAGAGAATTAAACAGAAAGTTGGCAAAGGTTAATATTCACCTGTTTGGAAGAGAGAAAGAAAAGGAGAACATGATCCCAACAATGAATGTAACTGTACTGTATCCCTAAAATGTACCAATAAACTCAATTAAAAAAAAAAAAAAGAAAAGGAGACTCCCTGAGGCCTGTGCTTCATCTTACACTGTTCTGAAATGTGGGCCACAACTAACACTCTGCTTAATAACAATTTATGCGCTGTCAATCTTTTTGACCAATGTCATCAATATTTTACCCTGCCAAATGACAACAATCAAGAATCAGGACCACGAGAAGCACTTGAGGCAAAAGTGTTTCTAAAATAATAATGAAATTGACAACATAGAAACAGCATTTCCAATAGATATCCTAAGGATGCTTTCACCATGATTTTCTTTTCTAAATAGTGCAAACCACCAAACACGAATGCCCTGGATAGATAGTGTAATTTAGACAAATTTCTAGACAAGTAATAACACTAACAATAGTCCTCCTTTACTCATGACTTACAATGGGCTAAGTATTATTCTAAATATCAGAGGATTTCAATACTAAATTACAATCTGTATTAAAACAAATCTTGGCAAATTTCTAACTGATACACAAATTAGCTTAAAAAGCATGCAAAAAACATTCTGATCTCCATTTTCCCCAACTCAATTTAATTTTAGGAAAAGCAACTGACCTTAGATCTACTTACTTGTTACTGAAAATGAAGTGTCAAGCATAAAATTCAAACTCTTATTACATTTATTACACAACTTTGAGATGGAGTTTCACATATTTTTCTATTAGTTTTGGTATACAGTTTAAGAATCATTTTTCTTTTGCATTGAAGTTTTACTCAACAGAGATGAACAAAACTATGCCTGTATCCACAGTCTAAAGATAAGTTTATTTACATCATAGAAGCCAAAGAAAAAGGAAGAGAGATAGGAAAAAAAAAAAAAGGAAGAAAGTTACGGAACAGAGCTGATTATAGAATGACTTGGGGCGGGAAAGGGGGATCGTGGGACCAGCTCAGTGTTGGACAGGCTCATTAAGTGGAGCAATTTGGTGATTAGGTAGCTCAATTTTTTTCCAAAAGTTGGACTTGTTGCACTTCTTGTACTTCTACTTTGCCTAAATTCTGATAAAAGCACTGTTTAGGAGAAAGTGCAAGATTCTACTTTGCAAAGTGTGACTGGAATCTTCTAGAGGTGGAGGTGTTTAAATCTTTCAAGCCAAGTGTGACCTTCTGAGAAATCACTGTTTATAGCCTGGAATGATTTCTCTCTTCCTTCCTTCCTTTCTTTTGTTGGGGTTTGAACTTGGGGCTTTCCAATTATTAGCAAATTGCTCTGGCTGGCTCAGCTCATAGGCCTCAAACATCCCTTTATGGTTTGTGTCAAGACTATCCCCCCAAAGGCCTCGTACACTCCTAGCCATGGGTTTGGGAAGAGGATTGGACAGCAGGTGCATTACAGCCGACTTGCAGTTGGAAAATGTGGTCTGCTTGGAGATGTGGTTCACAGGGTGTGTAAACTGGAAGCGTGGGACCCTTCATCTCCAGACCTGACTCATTCTTTGTCTCTCTGCTTCCTGCCATTCATTATGTTTCTGCGTTTCCTCTGCTGACGCCCTGGTATCCCATTTCTGACTTTGAGCCAGAAAAACATGGACTGTAAGTCTGAGCCGAAATAGATCTCTTCTCCTTTCGGTTGTGGATATCGGCTATTGTGTTTGTGACGAGAAAATGACCAAGACATTTCTACAGTACTGGGATTGCAAGCATGTACCACCCTGGCTGGCTCCTGGATATTTTAATTTTACTACCATTAGTAATATTTTAGGATGAGTGACTTATGTTACTAGGAGGAGATTTTAGTTACCAACCACTAAAGCCAACTGAGTGCGACTAAAGTAGAACAAGATATTTTTAAAGAACTTTAAGAAGGGAGCTTGCTGAAAATCATGTTTCATTTACTGTTCAGTTTCACATTGTGTTTGGAAGACAATGTCATGGTTCAACTCTCTTCAGACTCATCCTAGTGTAAAACTGTGTCTATCTCACAGGGAGATGGAGAGGGGGTGTGAGTGAGAGAGACAAAGCCAGAGTTATTAAAAAAGATACTACTGGAACCTTCACCAACTTACTTATATCTCCAGTGTTTCTTCTCTAAGTTCATTGTCCTCTGCCATCAGTCAGGGGTTCTCAAAGTAAGGCCCCCTGTCTAGCAGCTTCGGTATTTTGGAGAGAATAATAGAAATGTAAATTTTGGAACCCTGTGTCTGACCCGTATAGTTGGAAATTCCGAGAGACGATGGAAACCTGGTTTTGACAAGTCTTTGGGGTGATTCTTATGCAAGTTAAAAACTGGGCCCAGTGCTATCAGTGAACTATGGGAGGACACATTGGATATCCTCTTCTGTATGCAATGCTCCCCACTTGTACAATTTCTTTTTTTTCTCATTGAGTTCCTTGGTACATTTTAGGTACACAGTACAGTTACATTCATCATTGGGATCTTATACCTTTACATGACAGGTCCTGGTTCTCATTTTTCCCCATGCCCCTGCCCTCCCTTTACCCCTCCTCCCTTCCCTATTTACAAAAACTTTATTGCCATTTTTTCATTCTCTCATATTGTTTTCTTTTCCCTTATTTCCTTTCCCCTACCCTTCCCACAGTTTGTAATAGCTAAAACTTGGAAACAGCATATTTGCCCATCAATTGGAGACTGGATAAAGAAAATGTGGTTTTTCTATAAAATGGAATACTACTCAGCCATAAAGAATGGGAAATTAGATTCATTCATAGGAAAATGGATGCATATTGAGAATATACTCTTAAGTGAAATAAATAAGTCACACATGGGTAAATACCAAACAGGTTTCTCTGGCATGAAAAACTATAATCGTAAATAAGATCTTAATGGTATAATTGACAATGTACAATTTACTCTTTCTCTTTTCAGGGCTACATGCTCATCACTGTGCTGGTCCACACAATTTACAGATTCTAAGGCAAAGTGAAAATTTCCAACCCATGTAAAAAAGTAAAAGAAGAATAAAACAATGTAAAAGAAGAGTAAAACAAGGAAAACGTACTCAAATATTTCTTTTCTCTATAGGCTTTCTTGGCTTGTCCTGTTGTTGCTTAAGAATTTATAGACTATGCAACCACAATCTTGTAATAGACAAGAATATGGTTTGTACCCACAGATACAGTATATGAATCCTTATAAGAAAATTGTTCTTGAGAAGGACACAGTGGCACATACCTGTAATCTCAGCACTAAGGAGGCTGAGGCTTAAGGATCACAGTAAATCTGAGGTCAGCTTGGGCCACCTAGTGAGTTCCAGATGAGGCTGAACCACCTAGTGGGACCTGTGTCAAAAAAACAAACCCAATCAAAACAAAACACAAAAAAGAACATTGTTCTTATGCCAATTAGCCAACAATAATTCTTAACTCTCGGCAACATAATATTATAATGCACTAATGCCCTGTAAGCTGTACTCTTCACATTTTTTTAGACATATATTCTTGAAGCATTCCTGTAACAGAAATTGCAGATCCCTACCCAGTGTCTAATTTTTCACACTATATTTGTAGGCTTCAATTTTAGCTAGTGTGATATATCCAATTAAAAGATCAGATTTTCCACCCTTCATTGCTAGTAGGTGAAATGGTCATGCAATGAAGTTTTGACCAATAAAATTGAAGAAGAAATACTTTTTAATATATTCAAAGCATCTCCTTTACATGAGGGAAGTGGAATGTTCTCATCTTTGCCACTGCAGCATCCTGCTCCCTAAGTGGGAATGTCATTTCCTGAAAATCTAGCAAGCAACTTGGTTTCTGAGGGTTGTGCTCAAACCTTTGGAGACCGCCATAAGATGTCACTGGACTGTCATGATTCCTTGGCTGGCATTCACTTTGATCTCTTTTATGTCAGAGATAAAACCTTGATACTTGAGTTTTCTGTAACATGAGGCTAAATCTGTGACCTGCATCCAGAGAAATTGTTCTTTGCTGCTATGATTCTCTAGGATATATAACTTATTCTAACTATATGCAACCTGTTACAAGATGAAAATGTCAGGACTGGCAGGCTCAGCCAAACCTGGTACAGAAAGGATTCCTTCTCTGTACTCATCTCAATGGGTGTAACTGAAGGGGAATTGTGTAGTGTTCCCATTCTTTCCTTGAGACAATAGAAGTTAAGTTTATATTGGGTCAGGGATATAGTTTAATGCTGCCACAACCTGCCTGGCAAGAACAAAGTCCTGAGTTCGATCCCTAGCACCAAAAGAAACAAAAGTTAAAATAAGTTAAGTATATACTTAGGAACAGGTGAGCTCTTATACAGAAGTACAAATTGTTTGGAATAAGACAAAATGCTGAAACATTTACCTTATTACAATTTCAATAAAAGATGCTCCCATCAGTCATCTATAGAAATATGAAGTAAAAAAATCCCCTTTTATTCTGTACTTCTTAATTAGTAATAATAAAGATAGCTTTCCACATAGGAGTCCCTTTTCCATGGGTGGGACAAAATGCTTGACATAAACAATGTAAAGCAGTGAGGGTTTATTTTGGCTCACGGTTTCAGAGACAAAATTGCGAGCCACGGTTCACTGGCTCCAAGGCAGGGAGAGGCATGGGAGAGGCAAGCTGCTCACATCACGGCTGCTAGAAGCAGAGAGAAGAGGTAATGGAAGAGACAGAAAGAAAAGAGGGGGTCTGGAACGAGAATCCAACCTCCAAAGGAATCCCTCCTGCCGTGAGCTCTTTTCCCCAACGGCCCCACATCCTAATAGCCCAGGTAGCTACAAACTCATCAGTGGCTTAATCAATTATGGCATTAGCTACCCCATGATCTGTTCACCTTCCAAAAGCCCCACCTCTGATTACACAAGCCTTTTGGGACATACTTTTAATTTAAATCATAACATATAGATAGAAATTATCTCAGTAACTCTACAAATATTTTTCATGGTTGAAATTACTACCTCCACTAACAACAAGAAGCAAGATGAGAAGGTGTAAATCAGTTGTTCATTAAATCAGGGTGCCAGAGATGAGTCTCAAACATACATGTTCTGACTCCAAATACATATATACATATATTGTATGTACATATATACATGTATATATACACACATACATTATCTATAATATATATATATATATGTATTCCCTTGTTAAATGATTCACATCTGTGTCTATACTCAAAAAAGAGTGCCTCTAACATTATTTGACATCTAAATTTCAACTATTATTCATAATCCATGTGATCTCAACCTCATTCAAATTAAGAGGCAAAACCAAATTTTTGCAACATTTCTAAACATAATATTAGGAGAAAACATTTATGACTACTCAATAGATTAATCTGTACTACACCATTTTGGAGAAAGTCGACAGTTACACAATGTTGAGATCTATTGGCCTCTGGCATTTCGTCACACTTAAGCAGAGCGAGTTAAATACGATTGCAACCGTTACTGGTACTTATCCATTGCTCTGAATGCCTTGACTTATTGGAATTCACTAGCAAGGCCTACAGTATTCTGCAAAAATGAGATATTTTCACCATAGTCAAGCAGAATAATGTTACTAGGGATGAGAATTGAATATATAAGAATTCCTATTTTTCATGATGGAGGCTAAGGAAAAGCACAGGATTAAATCAATTTTCTGACCTGGTAAAATGACTTCTTATCATCGCAGAAATTGAAGACATTATAAATGTAATCTATTTTAAAATTTTTCACACTAGGTATAAAGTAGAAAATATAATTCTTTTATTGGGCTCTCTTACAGAAGAATCATATTTTCAGTTATTATGTTACCAAAATTATGTTACTGAAATATTAAAATAATAATATTAATCATAATAAATAAATTATTCCAGTTACAATATTCTTTCCTAATCATAATATTATATTTGCTTTACTTCTTACACTTATAAACTTTTATTTTAGGAAGAATTTATTGAGAGAAAAATAACTTCTAAGAGAGACAGAAGGGGGACCAGAAAGTGGGTTGCCCCTTATAATCTTTCTGATGAGAAATTCTGCCAAACTATAGTCAGGAAAAGAAAGGAGGAATATTGCTATAAGCATTTTGACACATTTTTGAGATAATGCCTAGTGCCTTTATAAAAACTTAGAATTAGGACTCAGAAGACTGAGTTCTGACGTCCAGCTTTGAGCTAATCACATAAACATCTGAAAAATGAGCTGATAATCTTATCTGGTAGGAAACATGTGTGCTTACATGTGTGTGTCAAACATGTCTATATTATATAGGTGTGTATGTGTATGCCATACATAGGGAAGAGATGCTGATATTCTCACTTTAATTATTCCTAAATTCAGAGAGATTATAATGGCTGGAATATATAGAATTTAATTGACTAAAATCTTGACTTTAATTATTTTTAATATTTAGAAGTTCCACTTTTGTTGAGAAAAATATGCAAGTAGCAAAATTGAAAATGTCAGTTTCCTTAATGGCATGGATTATCTGTACAATAGTCTCGTTCAAAACACAATATTCATATCTATGTTGTTTTCTTCTATTAGAATCTCAACTGTTGTTGGAAATAATGTGATTATTTAAGCCCTTGAAGTTAATCTATTCACATAAATATTACACCTTTGAAACATAGAATCAAGCATCTACATGAAGGCAGGATTCTCATTCCCTGAAATGCCCTATATTTGGTAGTATACAACTGTCCTTTCTACAAGGCATTCCGTGTTTTTTATAGATCTTCAAAGACTGAGAAACTTTGTTTACAGACTGTCTATAAGCAATACCATCCCTCTCACTGCATGTTGATATTGCATTCTATCATGAACTTCAAATAAGAATACTTATGAAATAATCACATGGGTACAACCACTAGTAGTAGGAGTTTTGTTTTCTTAAGTTGCATCCATTATGAAACTATAAAAGAAAATTACGTCTTATACGGAGATGCCAGGGCGACTGCATTTCTGTGGTCCCCCAGACACTCCTTCATTCCATGTGCCTGTTGAATACATTGTGTAGCCCTGTTTCTGACGAAAGATTCTGTCCTTGACAGCATAGCTCATTTCACAAAACTCTCACCTTTGTAACTTCATGAATTGTTCACTCTAGTGTGGATGTGGATAATTTTAATTATATTTCCTTCCTTACTGTGGGTCTTAGGGATTTCTAAAACCTATTTACATCCCTAATACAGCAATTATAGGCAATGGTATGTCATATATTTTTATTTTCATGCTTTTCTTTATTTTCTTCACTGGGCCTTTTTAAAATAAATTTTTAAGCCATTTTAAATTTCCATGCAATATATAAAAATATAATAGAAAGAAAAAACCCATTGTTAATTGTTAACATATGATTTATATAGCATATGTGTTTTACCTGAATGAAAAAAAAATAGCTGTTTGCTGGTAATACTGAAGATTGGAATATGTGTTATGTTTGTTTCATTGCTCTTGGATTTTTGAATAATCCAGAATAAAAGTCCAAGTTAAGCAAAACACTTCATTAAAATAATGAGTTTTTGTTAGATAATTTAAAAAGTGTTTCTAAAGCAAATCTGAGTCCATTGCCAATGGTTAGTTTTGTGCAGTCTTGGTTGCATAATTTTGGGGTCTCAGTTAACATGAAAGGGCAAGGTCTCTTGCTTACAATCTGTTAAGAATTTTAAAACAGCAAAGCTGAGCATCATACTGAGATTGGGGCACCTCTAGGGAAAGAGGACTTTGTATGACCATCAATCAGACTCTATTTTTATGAATAATTGTGTAATTTTGGTGGGATTTATTATTTTTGTTTAGTACCAGCTATAGGCAGTGGACATTGAAAACTATTTTACAATTGAATGTAAAGAAAGAACAATATGGTTCACTGGCTTAGCTTCCACTATGCAGGAGATCTATAAGCAAGATGGTAGCAGCCTTCTGTGAGTACTTGCCAGATTAATACCATCAGTCTGTTCATACACACCTGCTGCTGCAGACAGGAAGGGTTCGATGACAACATCAAATCTGACAGCATCAAAAAACTAAAAACACAAATAGGCACAGGGCATGAAAAAAATATTTATTTTTTCGAAGAGCAAAATTCAGTTGGTACTCTTCTTGTTGATGGCTGGTAGAATGCACCCAGTTTTTTTAAGGCTTCTTCTGGAATTGTTCTGGTCTTTGGAAAATTCTAAAGGATCCAAAAAAAGGACAAGAGGCTTCTACCAGACCCTCCCACTGTAGGAGTAACCTAAGTCCTTACTTCACCTGACACTCAGGTCAAGAATTGTAATTTTTTTTTTTTTGCAAAACTCTTGTTTCTTTAAGAAGTATTTTAAGTTGCTTAACTAAATTGGCAAAAGTAAAATTAATGTATACAAAAGAATAAACAATAAACAACCTGTAATTAGTGATTGTAGCAAGACTGAGCAAGATTGTATACACAAAATTCAATCACGATTTACAAAAAAGCTACAGTAATCAAGGAAGTATTGTACACTATTAGCTAAAGAATGAACAAAAAGACCAATGGAACAGAAGAGAGAGCCCAGAAATAGAGCCATGTTAATGTAGTCAAGTGACTTTTGATCAAAGGCAACATATTGGAGGGGAAATATTGCAACAAGTGTTGTCAGAACAACTTGATATTCACATGCAAAAAACAATCAGAGAGGAATTTAGAGTAAGGCTATATACATTTCCCAAAAATTAATTCAAAAAACAGAACTATTAAGCTCCTAGAAAACAAGATAGGAGAAAATCTAGACCATCTTGAGACTGGCAATGCCAAAGACATGATCTATGAAAAAAAAAGAACTTATAAACCTGACTTTATTACAAATAAAATTTTCTGCTCTGCAAAAGTCAATACAAAGACATTGGAAAGATAAGCCACCACCTACTGGGAGTAAATATTTAGGGGAAAAGAGTATGAAATAAAAACACCATGATCCAAAATATGAAAAGAACACTTAAAAATCAACAATAAGAAAACAGTAAGTAAAAATCCAGAAAAAAAACTTATCATCAAAAAAGATATACAGATGGCAATAAGCATTTAAAAAGAAACTTCGTATCATATGATTCCATCAGGAAAACACAAATTAAGAGAACCGTGAGATTCTCACCTAACTGAATAACCAAGATCTGGAACACTAAGCACCCTAAATGTTGAAAAAGCTGTGAAGCCACAGGGACTTTCACTCATTGTTGGTGAGAAACAAAGTAGCACAGTGGAAGACAGTTTGGTGGTTTCTAATAAAACTAAGCCAAGTATGGTGACACAAGCCTATAATCCCAGCTACTCAGGAGACTGAAGCAGAAAGGTTATGAGTTCCAGGTCAGCCAAGGCAACATAGACATCTCGAAGAAAATAAATAAAAACTAAATAAAGTAATTATTCTTCCTCCAGTCTTGTAATCACTCTCTTTGAGATTTACCCAAGTGAATTAAAAATTTACAACCACATGAAAACCTGAACATCAATTATTGTAGTATTCTATCCCTAACTGCCAAAGCTTGGAAATAGCCAAGATGCCCTTCACCAAGTGGGGGCATAAACAAGATTTAGTGCATGTAGATTCTAGGATACTATTTAGCACTAAGATTAATGAGTTTAAAACACTTAGGAAAATATTAAATGCTTATCATTCAGTGAAAAGGGCTTATCTGAAAACATTAGATATTATATGAGTTTGTATACACGATACTCTGAGAAGGGAAGAATTATGGAGAGGGTAAAAGATCACTGATTACCCAGGATCAGAAGAGAGATGACAGACATGTGGTGGCGTCCAGAGGATTTGGGGGCCAATGAAAGTTCTCTGTATACTACAATGGTGGGTACATCATCACAAATTTGTCTAAGCCCTCAGGATGTGCATCAAGAGTGAACCCTGCTGTACACTGCGGACTCTGGGTGATGATAATAATGTGTCAGTATAGATTTACAGGTGGCTTAAAAAGTGACCCCCCCCCTGGTGGGGGATGTTGATGGCAGGGAGACCATTCCTTTCAGGGAAGGACGAGATTGTACCTTCTGCTCAGTTTGCTGTGATCTTAACTGCTCTAAAAATAAAGTCTGCCTAAAAAATAAAGAAATAATAAAAAACGGGTGTCATAGAAGTGCTGATTTTTATTGTAAATTGTAAAACAGCAAGAGGTGAAAACACACATGTGAGTGTTGAGGACCCAGTTCTGGGAGCAGCACTCAGGAAGGTCCCTCTTTGAATTGTATTTTAATGTCTTCCTCTCCTCAGAGATCTGATATCTCCAGATGAATCTCTTCCCACCTTCGTCGTGGTTAAAACATCAGTTTGGGGCTCAAATATAATTTTCTCAAATTCACTATGTGCCTTCCTCTTGGAAATAGATGACAAGCAAGATCAAGTTTCGTGCCCAGACAGGTTACTCTCATGCTCAGCACTGTTGAACCCCAAGTAAATAAGAATGTAAACAAATAGTGTGGATAATTGTCTGAAAACTGAACCAAGGAACTGGAGAGCCATGGCTTTCAAAGCAATTTGTGCCCCTCTTGTTTCAATTTGAACAGAGCTCTTAGGATTTCCTGACATTCGCAGGCAGGGCTTCCTGGTGTTGGCTGAGGATAAATTCTCATTACTCTTAACTGGTGTTAAATATGAACAGTCTGCCAGATTGCCCAATAATTCACAGATTCCTTAAATATATCAATAGTCTGAAGGTCTATACTCATTATATAGAATAAGCTAGAAATACTATAGGAGCTAAGTTAAAAGCATTTTCAAAATTATTTACCTTATGGCAAATTGCCAGTCTTTGCACAAGGTAACAATTTATTCTCTCCCCATAACTATGAATGATACAAATTTTGTGGCTATGGTACCATTTTTGTTTAGAAGACATCATTGCCTGCAATCTTACTTCATTTGGTCCTAGTCTGGTAAATGATCATTTTTCATGTCAACAATTTCAATTTAAGTGCTGATCAGCAGGTTAATATTATAGAAAGTACACCCTAGGGGAATTTGAAGAGATGGCTGGATTTTAGGACCTAGTTAAATAGTTCTTTACTACAAAATGGGAATAAACAACAAAATGACTTGGAGCAAATGCGCCTCTTCTTTGTGTTTCAAGTTACTTGAGTGATATTTTAACAAACTTCCAAGACATTTCCTTGTGTATCTTTCTTTGTTTTGCACATTGATTTTAAATGTTAACCAGTTTTCTGGAAGCATAATGTGACATAAACTTTCTTCTGTGCAAATTAGTGCAATAAAATAACCCAAAATATTTTTGCACATGTTCAGAAAATCACTGATAGTTTCCTAGGATTTCATTTTGGGCTCATAAAAACTGTACTATCATGTGCTCCTCTATGTACCTAATTCCTATTCCTTGCCCAGATTAAGATAACTTTTTTAATGTAATTCTGTGTAATGCAAAAATTAAGTGGTCATGCACCATTTGTGTTATGAGGCATTTTCTCATATGGTAATAAGTCAAGGAATCAAGTGATGACAGTGGTGGTATGTTCTCCATCCCTTTATGCCTGCTTACAAGCTCAGCATGGTAGAATTGTGTGACATACAATAGCCCAGGGTGGTATCATTATCTCAGTTAGCAATTAAGTGAATCAGAGTCCAAGAAACCAAGGAATCACTGGAGTAGTAATACATGCCTTCAATTCGAAACTCAGGATGCTGAGACAGGAAGATCTCAAGTTCAAGCGCAGTAGAGACAACTTGGCAATTTAAGACTTTATCAAAATAAAAGTGAGCAATGATAAATGCAACTGTATTGTTTGCTTTAAATGTACCTGTAAACTTAATGGACAAAAATTAAAGAGAAAAAAAAAAGGTCTGGGGATGTAGCTCACTGCAAAGGCCATGGATTCATTTGCAGTGCTGCAAATAAATAAGTAAAAACATACATATATACGTACGTGCCAAGTAATTTATAGAAGGCTCTAAAGAAAGGCAGTCATGAAGTATGGAACAAACTCCAGGCCGGTCTGAATTTACATTCTACGTTCTGCAGAGCCTCTTTGCTACAGAAAAGGAACTCCTGACTTGGGATGAAGGGAAATCATTCCTCAGAATAAAGCAGCCACATAAAGTTGGCATGCCCTGACCCCCGCAAAGCACTGCATGGCCGAGAAATGAGCACTGGTGCCATGATACCTGCCTTTTCCCTCTTCTCTTCAGAAGCTCTGCTGTATCCCAGAAAGAAGCAGGACCACTTCACTGAGGCTGCCTTCCGCACTTCTCACAAGTTTGACCATCCCGGCACAACAGCTGGCTGTTGTAAATGTTCTCAGGTCAAAAGTAAAAGAGTTATCTCCAGTCACACCTTGGCTAGGTTGACCATGCACTGGAGAATTACTCAAATATTATTTAGGACATTTTTAAAATATAATTCAATTTTTAATTTTTTGTCTGCTTAAATTGCAAGGTCTTCACATACCAGGCACATACATATTCATAAACACCTATACAGATGAACACCTCTGTGCCAAACACACACAACTTCTTAACTCCAAACTTACCAAAGTCACTTACCCATATCTTTCCTCATTCTTTTCAGTAAAATTCTTGAAAAAAATTTTGACCAAAGTTTGTGGTGTCCAGTTCTTCATCTTCATACACAGTGTGTTTAGTCTTATTCTACCATTTTAATACCCTCCTCATCCAAAATAATGATCTGTTGTGGACTATAAGCTATAGCAGGCAACACATCAAGAGCTTCGTGAAAAAAATGTGCAGAGGATGAGGAAGAAGCGAGAAAGCACCAAAGTCCATCAGAACATAGTGACATGGAGTGCAGAGTCACCAACCACTGAAATACACCTAGAGTGGGATATAAAACAGGCAAAATGCCTAAGGGAAAAGCTAAAGTTTCAAATGAGAAACCTAGAATAAGAAATGAAGCCACTCAGCAGTCCAGGCACCGTTCCTGGGAAAAGTCTATAGACACTAATGAAAATATTCCCGAAAGTGATAAGATGCGGACTCTGTGATAACAGCAAACAGATTCCCTGAAGTCAAAGTCAGAATCAGCCCATGTCCAGAGGCCCAGCCCTCTTGGGAAATGTACAAAACATCTGGGTAAGAAGGCTGAGGGATGGCCAATGGGGTATTCATCCCAGCTGCCACTGTCCACAAAGAAAGGGTGGAACACAATCCCTGACTCTCTATCACTGACCATAGAGGGAAACACGTGTTAAAGATAAAGGCAGAGGTGCAGGGAAATTGGAATCCACAAGGATCAGGGGTGGAAAGAAGAAGCCCGCTTTAACTGAGAAAAATTCCCTTACCCCAGAAGCCACTGAAATAACAGACATATGAGTGAGCTGAGCCATAGGAGCTTGGAGTCCCACAGACGGGGTCATAAAGACCGGAAGGAACGTTCAGTGAGTAGGCGGAGACTCCTTGGCTGACATTCACTGGAGGGAGAAGCAAAAATGCCTACCCACTGATCCTGAGAAAATGGAGGCCCAAAGACAGCTGGACGAGAATTTGGCAGTGCTGGCCTTCCCTCCAGTCTGGTCTGCAATTAGTGCCCGTGGCTGACTCAGAGAACTATTGGGATCCTCACACCCCTTCACTGGAAAAGTGGGGGAGGACATAACTTTGTGGCGGTTAGGGTGGTGTGTCGACTTTCAGTTGGCTTTGGATCCGTCCTAGGGTTTGCTAGAGCATGCTTCTGGGTGTCTCTCGGCGGACCACGAAAGTGTGGCCTTGGGGTTCAGGCACGGTGACTGCTCCCCTCCTCCCTAGCACTGTCCCTCTGCTCTGCTTCCCAGCTAAGGAGCCAGCAGTTCTGCTCTGCCACACCCTTCCACCATGACTTTCTGCCGTGGAGACTGCGCATCATGTAAGGAATCCCCTGAAACGGAATAAATCAAGCTTCTCCATTAAGTTATAGATCTGGATGTTGTTTCTTAGCAAAGGAAAGCTAACAGCTCTCAAAGAACGGACTTGGAGACCAGGCAGGGTGTGAAGCTGTGGAAATCACCCCAGAGGTGGAGAAGAGACCCCAGAAAGTAGGCAGGCCAGGACCATGGGACATAGGCTGAGAAAAGCTGCAGGCTACGTGGATCCAGCCCCGAGGAAGGCAGTGGGCTGCAATTGGTAAGGTCATACAGGTAGGGCCGCTTGGGACCTCTGGAACCCTCATCACGACACTGTGCATCCCAGATGCAGGACATGGAGTTGTAGGAACTGTTCTTTGCTGTGTTGGTTTTATTGTTATTATTATTATTATTTGCAGTGGGAGTTATTACATTTTATTTTATTTTCTCATTGAGTTTATTGGTACATTCTAGATATACAGTACAGTTACATTCATCATTGGGATCTTGTACCTCTACATCACAGGTCTTGGTTCTCATTTTTTCCCCATACCCCTGCCCTCCCTTCACCCCCTCCTCCCTTCCCTATTTACAAACACTTTATTTCCATTTTTTTTCATTTTCTCATATTTTTTCTTTCCCTTATTCCCTTTTCCCTACCCTTCCCACTTTCCCTACACCTTTAGCCCTTTTCTTCCTATTTCACACTATTAATTATCCCATTGGGATCTTGTGTACTATTATAGTTTTTCACACCAGAGAACTATTCAGTATTTACACATGTGTGACTTATTTATTTCACTTAAGAGTATATCCTCAATATGTATATGTTTTCCTATGAATGACTCTAATTTCTCATTCTTTATGGGTGAGTGGTATTCTGTTTTATAGAAAAACCACATCTTCTTTATCCAGTTTCCAATGGATGGGCAAATGGGCTGTTTCCAAGTTTTAGCTATTACAAATTGTGCCGCTATAAACATAGGTGCACATATATCACTGTGATATGATTCTTTTAATTCTTTAGGAAAGAAACCCAGCAGAGGGATGTCTGAATCAAATGGAACCTCTAGTCCCAGCTCTTTGAGGTATCTCCGTATTGATTTCCATAGTGGTTGCACTAGTCTGCACTCCCACCAACAATGGAGAAGGTTTAGAACAAACAATCTTAAAGCTTATATGGAACTAGAAGAGACACAGAATAGATAAAGCAATCCTCAGCATAAAAGAAAAATTGAAGGGGCTGGGGATTTAGCTCAGCGGTTCGGTGGCCTGCCTTGCAAGTGCAAGGACCCGAGTTCAATCCCGACACCAAAAAAAAAAAAAAAAAAGAAACATTGAAGCTTCACAATTTTGGGTTTCAAATTATACTATGAAGCTGTAGTTACAAAAACAGCATGGTACTGGCACAAACAAAAAGAGCACAGTACTGATTCAGACCAATGGAACGGAATAGAGCACAAGAGACAGGGACAATCCTATGCACCTTCAGCCACCTGACTTTCTACAAATGCCCCCAAGCATACATGGGAGTAAGGACAGCCTCTTTACCAAAGAGTATTGGGAAACTGGTAATCCACATGGATAAGCATGAAACTAGACCCATATTTCTCACTCTGTACTAAACTAAACCCAATGAATCAAAGACAAATATAAAAATGGAATATTTAAAAGTCCTGGAAAATAACAGGGGAACACTTGAAGCTACAGGCACAGGCAAGGACTTTTTTTAAAACAACTCTAACAGCAGGGAAAAAATTAAGCATCAAAAAGTGGGATTACATCAAAGTAAAAATAAAGTAGTCAACAGAGTGAAAACGTATAGAATGAAAAATCTTTTGCCAGCAACTCTTCTGATAGAGAACTAAAACCTAGAATATATAAAGAACAAAAAGTTAACTTCCAAAAAACAAGTAACTCATTCAAGAACTGTGCAAATCACCTGAGTAGACATTTTTCCAAAGAAATTTAAATGGCCAATGCGTATGAAAAAATGTTCAGCACCCTTAGCCATTAGAGAAATGCAAACCAACACAATTTTTAGATTCTATTTTACTCCAGCCAGAATGGTTTCATCCAAAAAAGTGTTGGCAACGATGTGGGGAAATATAAACCCTTCAATATTGCAGTGAGAATGTAAAGTAATACAACAGTTATAAATATCAATGTGACTATTTCTTAAAAAGTTAAACTTTCATTTACTTAGCTAAACCTCTCCTGAGTATAATCCTCAGAGTTAAACACTATACTATAGTGATATATGCATACTCATGTTTATACCAGAGCAGTTTACAGTAGACAGGCTCTTGCAATAGCCTACATGCCCGTCAGCAGGCGAATGAGTAAAATAAATATGGTGTATATATGCAAATGAAATATTATTTAACCATAAAAAATGAAATTATGTCTTTTCCAGGAAAATAGGTAGATCTAGATACAATAATGTTAAGTGAAATAGGTCAGAGAAGTTTACATGTTGCATGGTTTTTCTTATATGAGAAATCCAAAACATATAAAAGTAAAATGAAGGAAGATGTCAGGAAATGAGGCAGCGTTTTGGAGATTGGGGAGGGATGAGAAATGGTTAAGATTATACCTATATCAATTCCACAAATGTACCTATTATGTATTTTATAATATGTAAATAGATGAATGAATAAATAAATAAGCATAACTGATATAAAAAATGAATAAAAAAGATAAAAATGAAAAATATTTTACATAGAAATCATCTAAAAATAAAGTTATTAAGCTGTCATCAGAAAATAGAAATGCAAACAGTTTTTATTTCTCTACTTTGAAAAGTATAATCCTAATCACAGCGTGGCACACATCTGTAATCCCAGTATTCTGGGATGCAGAGGCAGGAGGATTACAAATTCAAGCCCAGCCTTGGCAATTTAGCAACTTAGAGAGACCCATTTTCAAAGATATGAAATGAATAAAATGAAACGAAGCAACCGGAAATGTAGCTTATTGCAAAGTTCTGAGTTCAGTATCCCTTTCTTCCCATAAAAAAGAAGCTCGTGTAGTTTTGTAGGGAGAAGCTATCTTCATAGTGTTGGAAATGGCATCTTAGCAATGTTTGAAATGCACCACCCCTTGGTACAGAAATCACAAATTACGTTGCTCAAAGGAGAGGAAATTTCAGGAATTTTCTGAGAAGTTGGCATGCTCGCAGCAGCCAATGAGAAGACTTTCTCTGCAACAGTAAAAAACTATACAGGACATACGCATCTTCACTAAGAAAGTGTTCCAATAAATATCTTTTTTAAAAAACCAGCTATGTCAGTGTTAGCTAATGTGAATGCAATTTCAGGATTCATAGATTTTCTTAAAAAAGAGAATGCTACAAAATATGTTTACCTAAATTTAATTAGCTAACAAACTATGGGCAGATGTGTTTCCATGAGAGTTTCCCTAACTCCAGTCACAGAATTTATAAGTGTTTCCTCAAAAAGAAAGCAATTGAAGGAAGAATATGTGATAGAAAATAATATTTTTGTTAGTGTCTGAGCTGTGTCACTGGTAGTTTTACCACAAAACAAATACTACGTATATTTAAAGTAAAAGAAAAATCACACTTAATAAATTTGCTAGAATTTATTTGAATCCAATTTGTTGATGCTTTTTTTAAAAAAGTGCTTCATGAATTTATCCCTCAGTGCATTCATTCAATAGTACATGTGTTTGAGACTCCTTTTAATGATGATAAAATAGCACTTAATGTGAGAATGAATAATGAAAATCTTAATAATCCCATGTTGCAAATGAGGCACAGAAAAGTTAAGTAGCTCTTTCAAATCACAATGGCACCATTACAAAAAATATAAATTCAAGAAGTTCTGCCCAAAGCACAGAGATTTTAGCCACTTCTCTCGACTTACAGTCTCACTCTCTGAAGGGGGTATCTGACACACATCTTTGAGATATACATGGAAATAAAAAATGAATTTGTAGTTGACATTTGCATCATATTTGAACCAAAAAGCAGAAAAAAATGTAATGTTCTCTGTAAAATTTCCTACGATGGTCTATGGAAAATAACTCATAATAAAGACAAAATATCATTTAAGACAGATAAAGGATAATTTTTAGAGAATTCATAGGACCAAGAATTTCTCTAAGACTGTCAAAAGTTTATTTAAATAATTACTTTCCAAAATGTGTAAGACCCCATCAAACCAGGATATAGATGTAGCCCATTAACAGTTATAGTTCAGAAAAAAAATTTATAGAACATCTCAATAACATCTCATTCTATTATAAATTATATTTATAAATT